GATCGTGTTTATGACGTCGAATAACGACGTCATAAACACCAAAGTTAATCGTGTTTATGACGTCGAATATCGACGTCATAAACACCAAAGTTGATCGTGTCAGTGTATGAAAATTGCATTATATCTAATTCGGATAAAGTGCGCTGATAGCCACATTTCTCTCCCCGGGAGCAATCGTACTTCTCTACACATCATTATCAATGGTATGAAAATTCAGTTGTTAATTTTGTTATTGTTTTCGTGTAGATAAGTTTATGTGTAGTTTTTCAAAGACGATCAAAATTGTGCGAGTCTGAAAGACGGGCCCAGTTTGAAGTTTTTGAAAAACTCACGAGTGTTAGTGTTTCCAAATTGCACGAGCATCTATCCTATTACTTTTTATTAAAACGGATTTATTAAAACGGATTTTTATCTTGATAATTATTAATTGTAGTCATTCAGTATTTTAGTAAATACATCTTAGATCAGATTCAATTTTTCAAACGATCATCAATTAAAAAAATTATGCAGAAGCGAATCCCTGGTAACTAACTTGCATGCATAAAATAAAAAATTATATATACTCACTTATTCGAATGGCGCACCAATTTCACGCACGTTTTCTTGTGTTAGCCATAATATTACTACCATAATATTAGTTTGGATTTTTTAACCCAGCCAGAAGATAGTTTGACTTTGTTTAATTTAAGTTATTTTAATATTTTCAAAGTCATTTACAACAATTTAAAGCAATAAGCGACAAAACAATATATACTCTAAAATCCCCTGTTTTCACACAAAAAAATACGAATGTTATTCTGCTTAAAGAGTATATATTATTTTGCGCCTATTTTTAATAGCCTTTGGCAATCATAAACCAAAGCATTTCACAGTGCTTTTGTGCGTTTGTGTGCAGCGTTTCAGTGCATGCTGTGCGAGTGAATTGCAAAATATATTTTTGGTGTTCTGTTAAGTGCAGTGCAGTGCAATACAGTGCAAAATATGTTTAATAACTTTTATTGCTTATAGTTAAGTATAAACGTTTACAATACAATGTTTAAGTTTTTAAAGTTTTACATTAATAACAAATCTACAACTAATTTTATTAGTTTTAAACATACATTAGGTAATTCAATTATAAACTATTGGTAATATTAAAATTTAAAAATTATTAATGCCAGTTACATATGTGCGATTAAATTTTGTTTTAACAGTTTGTAGTTTTGCTACTATCAATTTAAAGAACATATATTATTGTGTTATTTTAGTTCTTTAAAGTTAACTTCTATTGAATTCAGTGGTGTTAATTGACGTTTTTTATGGTAATCGTATTACCATAAAACAGAAGCTTTGTAATTGGATAATGTTTACGAAATCCTTTTCAAGTACTTCATCTAATAATGAGTTAAAGTGAATGCCAACCTTTAATTTATTCTTCTTTGTCGGAATCATCACTTGACAATGAGCTGTGTGTCTCTTTACTTTCGGAGGTAGGCGAGATTATTGTAGTTTGTCCAACTTGAGTTAGGTCAATCGTACCTTGGCTAGCCGCTGACTGGCCAACTGCACATCCTGTGGGCGCAGCTGAAACTTGAACTTGTCCATCGGCTTGAGCCTGCAGTCCTCCACATTGCGCCTGCTGATCACCAGCTTGAGCCTGCAGTCCTCCACACTGTGACTGCTGAGCACCAGCCTGAGCCTGCTGTCCACCACACTGGGTCTGTCGTCGGCCAGCTTGTTGAGCGCCACCACATTCATGATGTTGACAAGTACACTGTGCACCACCTTGAGGGGGATCAACGTTGACTGCGGGTGGACCTCCATGGATAGCACAGCCATTACCACCATAATTCCCATCTACTCCTAGGCCGGTATCATCAATATATCCATCATACCCACCAGGGATGAATGCTCCATCTCCGACATATCCAGGATTACCACCACCGAACCCGAAAGGTCCCCCACCGATGCCGTATGCACTTCGAATACGGGTGACGTCAGCATATTCCACGGGACCACCAAAACTTGAACCGAGTCTGTCTGGGAAACTGGATCCGATTGGACGTGATCGGCCGCCATAAGACACGTCAGTGCCACGGCCAAGCAGGTACTCTGCGGACAAACTACGATGATGAAGCGACGTGTTGCGAACTGTTATATCCCTGGTGCTTATATTATTGACGCCTCGATCCGACGGACCACGAGTTGGGGAGGTATCGTAGATCGTGCTCAGGGTTGGTCGACCGCCAGGGTAGCCTCCTGGGGAGGGGTCGCGCCCTGGAAAACTCGGGGCTCCGGGTCTAGGAGACAAAGCTCCGCTGGGAACTCCAATCACACCGCCGCCAGGTCTACTACCAGGGGAGGGATCTCTACCCGATAGGAATCCAGGTCTACTTCCAGGGGAGGGATCTCTACCCGATGGGTATCCAGACCCCGGGGCATTTCCACCAGGACGACCGGTCACACCAGATGGTCGGTTGTATGGTGTGCTTCCACTTGGGGATCTTCCTGGGATCCCGGATGAAGGAGAGCCAGCCTGACCAGGAATCACTCCAGAACCTGGGGAAGCACCTTCAAAGGAAATAATAATTATTTAGATAAAATCAGATACCAAAATATGGTCCTATAATTTTAAACGGTTTATGCCAGTGTAGGTAGGGCAGGATAAGCAAGCTTTGGATTGATAGGGGTGCAATTATCTGAAAATAACAAAGCGAACTTCGAGCTGGGAGAACTGTGGAAATTGTTATTAAATGGAGAATATTGGGCGGTTTGAAAAGTCACAACCGAAAAAAGATAACCACCTTTTTTAGTAACCGTTCATTCCGTCAAGTATGTTTCATTTTTACTTTCTATTCAAAATTATATTCTATGTAAACAGTAAACAACCTGGAGAATCATTCAATTTTTTACATGATGGTTAAGATAAAGGTGTTCATATTTACCTCCATATGGGCCAACGAGAGGGTAATTTCTTCCGGTCGGCGATGGGGTCGCTCCACCGCCTCGAGTCCCTAGTGGTCCTGTAAGTCCTCTGTCAGGTGAACCGACTCCATACGGTCCTGTACGACCTGGATACGAACCAGCTACGGGAGATGTCGAGACTCCTCCGACAGTGCCCGGGTATCGACCACCGGGAGAATAGCCACCACGCTGGTGGGGGGAGGTCGCGCTTCCTGGATATCGCTGACCAGCAATGCCTGCAGACCCTGGGTAACGGCGGTCAGGTGATGCGCCCGCTCCGGTTGGTTGAGAGCCACCACTGGGTGCCAGACCATCAAGGACGCTCGGTCGTGTTGGACTTCGACTGCCGCCATAACCTCGTCGTGGTCTGTCCTGTAAAAGAAGATAAACGGTTAAATTAGGAACAATGTATACTTATTTATACTGGATAGCTCTATCAGTTCTTAACTGTTCTTCCTAGAGGTCTAGTAAGGATCTTCCCTATATTGGTTCAGTGGTACTGCCAGAGGAAACCAGAGTACCCAGGGAATATCTGTGGTGTCCTTTTTCAGGTAGTTCAGACACACACCACGGCAGCTTATTGTAGAATACTACCTACGCTAAACCACCACGTTTAAGATATCTTTTTCAGGTAGTTCAGACACAAACCACGACAGCTTATTGCAGAATACAACCTACACTGGACCCACACGTTTGAGATATCTTTTTCAGGTAGTTCAGACACAAACCACGACAGCTTATTGTAGAATACTACGTACACCTTTCGGGCAATTCATATACAAACTAAGACAGCTTATACTGTACTATCTACACTGAACCCCATGTTTAAGACTGAGTAACATCATTGAGTTAAAGTCACTGACCTTTTTATTTACAGCCAAGGTCAGATGTTTGTTACGTATTTCTAAAGCTTCCATTTTTGCAGTCAAACTACGATTATCATTAACAAGACGAGTGTTTTCCTCTTTTAGGGAAACATTCTCAGCTTCAATTCTCTTCACATTTGTCTCTTGGAAAGATTTTTGAATTTGACTTAATGGGTCATCTTTCTCTTTCGGCACCTAGAGAGCAAAACGTCGAAAATGATACAATTATGCGAACAGTTTTGATACTTTAGCAAAGAGACATTTATCAACTACTTAGTACAAAATCTCGTGCAGTTTAACGTACAAAAGTTCAGGTGCATACGTTGTATTACTAAAGCAAAAAGCCGTTTAGGCCTTTGAATACAAACAAGAAACGATAACTCAGTGATGTTATTCTAAAGTGCGACTACAAACTTTATTATTGCGTTCTTTCGTTCATTCATTAATAATTATATATTTAATTGCTTCATTTATTAAGATTATTTTCTATCCTATTTTTCATCATTATATGAAATAAAATTGTGCGAAAACTGACATCTACATTTAGCAGTATTACTTTATAAATTCTATACAAAAGTAGGTATTCCATGTGCTTATTTTAAATTTCCTCATATTTATATTTTCTGCTTGATAAATCTGGCATACTGTATAGGTTTTTGGATTGCAAAAAATTCACAAACCAATTTCATTTAAACCTATTCTATTAGCTATCAAATCTCTTTTTACAGCAGCTAACTTTTTTGTTTCTCTTTAACAATATTAACGATTCATTTTCCTTCATTCGTAAATTAGTTTCTTCAAATAATAATCTGGTTTCGAAATTTAATCTCGCTGGTAGCGTTCCAGTTTCGCTTGAGTTCAGTGGAGTATTCTCATGTAATTTCATATTCTGCTGATTTCAAACTTACCTTATCATCGTCATTAGGTCCCACTCTTCCTCCAACACCTCCAAGACCGCCAACACCGCCAACGCCAAATACGCCAGCCACCCCTCCCATACCAACAACACCACCAGCAGAAATCTTGATCTCGTGTCTCTCTCGTACCAGTCTGTCACGCTCGCGGTCAAATTCCTCTTGTAGCTTCACCTACGAAGATAAGATTCGAAACTTTTAGTAATGTAGAAAGGTAAAGTTCGCTTGTTAACCATCTTTCCTTGCTTGCTAGTGTACCAAAGGTAGGGGGTGAATTGTGAATAGCTTAAGTGCGAAGGATGTCTCAAACAAAATGAGTATATGAATGTGTTATACCGAAATACGTGTTATATAATACCTTCTCTTGTCGGAAACTGGAGCGAATCTCGTTGCGTTCTCGTCGGAGGTCGTCAACTTCTCGTCTTAATTCTTTAATCGTGTCTTCCAGAGGCCGCCTTTCCCGTTCAATTCTCTCCCCATATTCTCGTTGTAATTTTTCCAAGACATCTCGCTTGTAGTCGCTGATGCTGCGGTCGAAAGCATCCTTGTCGCCAACGAAGGCGGAGTTACTGGTGATCTTCATTTGAAGCAGGCGTCTTTGGTCTTGTAGACAGTTCACTTCACGGCGTAATGCTGTCATTGTTACTTCAAATCTAAAAATACAGAATCGTAAGTGAGCTAAACGAACTTTATTTATACTGGATAACTCTATCAGTTCTAAACTGTTCTCCCTAAAGGTCCAGTAAAGATCGTCTCTTATTGATCCAGTGTTACTACAGGAGGAAACCTAAACTAAACTAACTTTATTGATACTGGATAACTTTATCAGTTCTAAACTGTTCTGCCTAGAGGTCCAGTAAGGATCATTTCTTATTCATCCAGTGTTACTACAAGAGAAAACTTAAATTGAACTAAATTTATTTATACTGAATAGCTTTATCTAATTACACACTTAGACTATTTCATCTTTACAACAATTGTCATATTACTTTCTTAACTGCATTTGTCCTAACCCACCCTGTCAACTTTCCCTGTGGGAGGAAACCGGAGCACCAGGAGAAAACCCATGACTTTCGGCAGAGCGTTGACTTACTCGTTTTACATGAGTACGTAGCGAGAATCGAACCCACGATCTCAGAGGTAAAGGGCGCTTCCTCTGACGATTGTGCCAAACAACCATAAACTTCTCAACATATCAACTTACTTCTTTTTCTCACTAGTCAATTTCTGTTCATAATCAGCATCGATGCCCGCTTGAATTCGTCCTTTCTCCAACATCCACGAATTCTCCAAATCTGCTTTCTCATTTTCAAAGTTTTTCACCATGTATCGTATTTCCTCGGTGTGATTTCGCTCCAGCTTCTGCGCCGTAGTCTCATGGTCACGAACCTTTTAATAATAATATAAAATATTTAGACAGACGGCCTACACCACTACTTTTTCAGCAGCGTGTTGATATGTACTATACGTCTGACATAAGATCCTAAAACCTAGAAGATCTGGTCAAATATGATGGGAGTTGCTCTCTCGTGAACTCTGGATAGCGTTTAAACACTCTCATGAACTTTGAGTTGGTGCAAATTTTGATGAGAGTTTTTGCTACGCGTACAGTTATATCCAGTCAACTCTCATCATGAACTCCCATGCAATTCCCGTTCTCGTTTGACCGGGGCATGAGAGTTGAGAAAACTCTCACCCAAACTCTCGCTTCTCAACTCTCATCAACTCTCATGCAAACTCTCGCTTCTCAACTCTCATCAACTCTCATGCAAATTATCGCTTCTCAACTCTCATGCAAACCCCCGTTTGCCAACTCTCATCCTCGATTGATCTGGACTTTGCAAGCATATTAACACCACAGCACTAACAGTTTTAGATAAGTTTCAGGTCAGGTGGTATTGATCTCTTACAGAAGGATTTTGTAGATGGAAATTTGAGTGTGAATTTTGTACCGGTACATTTAGTAGACCTAACCAGGTGCAGTTGTGAAAAATGCAACTATAGGCCCTCTTATTCCTAATGGTCTGATCTTACATATTCCATGGGCTGTGAAGCACTGACCTTTTCTTTCAACTCATCAATAGTCTTCTCAAACGTGTGTCGTTCTTCGAGAGACATCACTGAGACATTTGTATGACTGCTCGTGTGACTCGTGTGAACTTCACGTGTGTTGTTCGTGTTGCTGCTCGCGTGCATGGCGACGAATCCACCGTGTTCGAATTGTGCGCGAAGTTTGTCGATCTCAGCCTTGTAGTTTTTGCGGATTTCGTTTCGTTCGTGTTTGAGTTTCGCGATCTCTCGCGTCATGGCTTGAACTGAAATCTCCAGCACTTTCTTTTCGTGGACGAGTCGGGCTTCGATAACTCGTTTTTCCTGTTCGCATCGTTTCAGTAATTCCTGTTTTTCCAGTTCGAAGTTCTGTGCTTGCTCCTTCAAACGCCGTTGTAGCTCGCGGTTCTCAGCCTCGTATTTCGAGGGAACGAGTGACGTGTTTGATTCCTCGAAGGTTGTGCTCGACTGGTTGATATGACTGCCGAATGTGTTTACCTAAAATAAAACACACAAAAAAAGAGATTTTCTAAACTGTTCTCCCAATAGGTCCGTTAAGGGACAACCTTTGATAGTGCAGTGTTACTACAGGAAAATATACTATATGGCTCTATCAGTTCTAGACTTTTCTACCCAGAGGTCCAGTAAGTATCATCTCTTACTGATCCAGTGTTACTGCATCAGGAAATCTTAACTAAATTAACTTTATATTGGATAGCTCTATCAGTTCTAAACTGTTCTTCATAGAGGTCCAGTAAGGATCATCTCTTATTGATCCAGTGTTACTACAGGAGGAAACCTAAACTAAACTAACTTTATTTATACTGGATAGCTCTATCAGTTCTAAACTGTTCTCCCTAGAGGTCCAGTAAGGATCATCTCTTGTTGATCCAGTGTTACTACATGAGGATTCTTGAACTAAACTAACTTTATTTATACTGGATAGCTCTATCAGTTCTAAACTGTTCTCCATAGAGGTTCAGTAAGGATCATCTTACCACAGAAGGAAACCTAAACTAACTAACATAATTATTTATACTGGATATCTCTATCATTTCTAAACTGTTCTTCCTAGAGGTCCAGTAAGGATCACCTCTTATTGATCCAGTGTTACTACAGGAGGAAACCTAAACTAAACTAACTTTATTTATACTGGATAGCTCTATCAGTTCTAAACTGTTCTTCCTAGAGGACCAGTAAGAATCATCTCTTATTGATCCAGTGTTACCACAGGAGAAAACCTAAACTAAACTAACTTTATTTATACTGGATAGCTCTATCAGTTCTAAACTGTTCTCCATAGAGGTTCAGTAAGGATCATCTTACCACAGAAGGAAACCTAAACTAACTAACATAATTATTTATACTGGATATCTCTATCATTTCTAAACTGCTCTTCCTAGAGGTCCAGTAAGAGTCATCTTTTATTCGTCCAGTGTTACCACAGGAGAAAACCGGAGCATCTGGAGAAAACCTGTGGTGGTTGGTATAGTCAAACTGGAAGCACCGTTCTGACATCAGATTGAGGCAAATGAAAATCATACAACTGCATATTACACAGAGGAGGAGGATACATGCACCAACCAACCCTAAAATCAACCTAGATATAAAATCCTCGTTTTAAAAACAATCCTTCATTCTTACCTCTCCTCCACGTTCTCTCTCGAGACGGCCAAGTAACCTCGCCTTCTCTCGCTCCAGATCGTTGATAACCTTATTATACTTCATCTCACATTCACGCTTCATGTCGTCCCGTCTTGATTCCAGGTCTCTGTCCAAGCTCTTCTTTAGCTGACGTTTTTCTTCGTTGAATTCAACCTCAAGACGGTCTTTCTCGCGCGTGTGTTTCATTTCCATGTCTCGGACCTGGGAAGGTGAAAAATAGGAAGAGTTAGATGAAGACGCATAAACTCTTCGAGAACTTCCGAAACGTTTTGTGAAGAGTTAACGTTAGCTTGGAACAGATTCGGAGTCAAAAAAACATTGCTCGTTAACTCTGACAAAAATTTCTTTAGTCCTCTCACTTTGTGCAAATCTATAGAAAGTTTGGCAAATCAACTTGGTGTTCATCAACAATAGCAGCTTCACTCTAAGACAAAGGTGACTATAATTTGCATTCCCTTGAGCATTCTAGTAGCGCAGTTGTTCAAACTGCTACGTTATTTACACAATTTTCACGGCTCATTACCACGCCATGGGGTGTTTTATGTGAATTCACTTACTATTGCTACTTCAGGGAATTTCAGGGTTGCTTAAAAGAAAGACAAGTGATTTCAAAAGTTTAGTAATGCATGTTTTGGCTCGAATACAAAAGTATAAGTAATTTTATTTTCTGCCATCGCCATTGTTGGTTGCCAAACTCACTTATATTACGGAGAACAGGGAGACAAAATAACAAAACAAAACAAAACAAAACAAAACAACACAACACAACACAGGAAACATCACTCTCCATAAAACCAATGCAGTTTTATGCAACAACACAGTACAAAAAGCTGACATAAAGTGCAGTAAGGGAAAATTCAGTGCATCAGTGCAAAATAAGCAATAGCGTGATTTTTTGTGCAACGTTCGACGCAAGTGTTGCAAGTGTTTTAAAAGTCACGAGGGAAACTCATAGCCAATTCGAAGCTCTATTCAAACCACACACGCGCTGTTGTAAGCGGTGATTTTTAATTCAAAAATAAACTCAGTGTGCTCATTGCTCTACCAAACGAATAATTGAAGTTTATATGCGTGACCAAGAATGAAAAAAACAAACATTTTTTATCAGTTTTAAGAGGATATATTGAGATAGTTACTAGGTTCCATACTTCACAAAAGTACATTTTGAAATAACATAATATTTGTCTTTCGTACCAATGTGACGTTGCAAAAATTACAACGATCCCAAATAAACGAGTTCTGTTTAACGTGAAACCCCCAGTTCAATGTTGGGCCGACAAATATCTGATATCTGGTTGCAAGACGCCAACATTGAAACGGGTGGGGGGAGGGAGGGTAAATCGGCAATATGCCAATAATCTTGCATCTTCAAAATTGCAGCACAATCCTGCTATTACCTGAGGAGTCGACTAATGCAATAATATTCCTCACCGTTGTTACCGTTACCTTCTCCTCGAGTTCGGCTTTTTGCTTTTTCAATGTTCTCAAAGCATCCTCGAGCTCGTCCGCCGTCTTCTTCGCTTTGTTTCGTTCCATGTCGAAGTCCATCGCCATTCTAGAATAATCAAGATAAAAATTTATTTATGTCGATTAGGGACGGGTCATTATTTCTGGTGGGGGGTGGGACCGAAGAGAAAAGGGTTGGGTAAACAAAATTTTGAGTGAGTGAAAGGTTGGGTAAATGAAAAACAAAACTACTCAAGGGTTGGGTGATAAAAATGTATTGTCATTTCCAAAGCATGACTCACTCAAATATTGAAGACTAAAAAGCAATGTCAACAGTCATATCTCAATACAATATGTAAGTCAATCAGAGTCACTATTTTGATCATTTCCCGATTTGTCAGGAGGCAAATGGTGTCTCCAAAGAAAGTAGATGTGCAGACAATATAAAAATTTAGACTGCAGGAAATTGCACAAGAAGTTATCAAACTCATGTCACAGAAGTAGTAAAGAACATGTGTGACAACTGAATGGTATCCTTATGTAAAGTCCCAGCAGTGCTGAAATTGTCCACCATCTACGACCCTGTAATATTTACCAGACTATAATATACACAGTATACTAATAACCTGTTCTTCTCTCGTTCGAAGTTCCTCACAGATTCATATTTCTCCGTCTTGAGCTGTTCAATGTAGGAATCTTTCTCTCGGAGTATGCCCTGCATATCATCACGACCATGAGAGGCTGGGGACGGGTATGGCGAGGTGTGGACTGGGGCAGGACTTGATGACTGCCATGTCGACTCCTTGCGTCTCATCTGTTCTTCAATATCGAAGATCTTTCGTCGCATTTCTTCTCGCTCTTGATTTAACCTATTTGAATCAACATGCGATTTTTGGATTTGAATTTATTAAATGATTAATTACTTTATATTTACAATTAAAATTAAAATTGATTATTTAGTTTAGTCATAAGCGGAAAAATACTATTTCTAAAACGTTCCGTGTTACATTTGTAAAAGTAACATCGTTTCTATTTCAAAGACGTAGACTATTCTCCTCCAGCTGTGAGTTGGGGACAAGATGACACATTTTAGTATTAGTTTCAGCACCCTCAAAAAATTATACAAAGTTGTTGGTGATTGTGTACAAGACTACTGCATCCAGTATTTTCAATGAGGATAAATTATCAATCTTCTCGGTCAAATAATTTGGAAGGCTAGTGTGCTATGCTTGACAAAAAATATATTGAGAATAGAAATTACGGATGTCTGAGCTCAGTGTATCGAAAAACAAAGTTCCTTAGTGCTTAACAGAAAATTATCGGAGATGTGTTCTGCATGACGGAACATAAAGTAAATTGCGAAATTTGTCAATAATTCAAGAAGAAAACACAAAAGAAATCATGAGCGTGAAGGAGTTTGTATATCTGATACAGAATCATGCTGATTCACATAAAATTTAAGTTCAATTTTCTCACCAAATATCATTAATTTATTTTAAATTGTTGAAGAACACGAATGTTCTCATGAAGACGTTTCAATCCAATACAACATGGCTGTTCGTGTTGTAAATAGGTACTTTGTATTGGTTTACAAAATTAGCAAAACAAACTCCAAGAGAGATGATTTTAAAACAACGTTACATCAATTTATACCTTTCTGCCATTTGATCTTTCTCCCTCTTCAAACGGCCACACTGATCTTTCTTCTCGTTTTCCAAGCGGTCAAACTCGCTCTTGAACCGTCGTTCCGACTCCTCAATGCGTCGTTTCCATTCGTCGTTTTGTCGGCTGGTCTCGCGCTCGACGTCGCCTCGCACAGAGCCAGCAGACATCTGCTGCATGAGGAAATCTTTCTGTTGGTTGAAGTTGGATTGCATCAAGGAACGGCTGTCGTGCATCCCGTCCATCTCACGTTGCAGATCACGGATGTTCTTCTCCAGTTGTCTGTTGGCATCCACCTGATCTTTAAGTTTGTTTTCAAATTCGTATTTGATTTTAATCATTTCTTCGCTTCGACCACGAGAATGAGTGTGTGTCGTCTCGTCTCGGATATTGGTCGAACCACGACTGTCTCCAGACTTCTAAATAATAATGGTAAACTCATCCACGGCTTTCAAATTAAGACGGCAGGCGCCAGAGCTCTGGTGGGTGCCACGAGGTTCGCTGCCGATTACTTTGTTTAGTCCTTGAAATATCAATTCTGCTCTTCTTCCTCCCCACTCTAACGCCTGTATTGTAAAAGCTCACTCACACTCAATGAGTGGAGGTTCAATCTGAGCTTCCCTTGAGTGTCAATGCTGTTTTTAAATAGCTGGATGGTGAGTAGTCACATAGTAAGGTACGACACTAACCCTTCAGCTGTTGAAAAACAGCAATGACACATAAGAGAAGCTCAGATTGAACCTTCACTCTTTGGGTGTGAGTATGAGTGAGCTTTTAGAATATAGGCGTAAGCTTTCAAACAAGGTTATTTTTTCTCAACCTGGTCTACTTTATAGCCTGGTTATTTTCGAAAACGACGTACTGTTTCGTGAGACTGATTTAGTCACTTAAATCTTGAGGTTGTCTTGTTGAAGAATGAAAGTAATGAATATATACATACATTATAATTTAGTTCCAGAGCTCAGTTCTGTTGCTATCTAATCAATATACACTAGTAAAATTGGATGACTGTAACACTTCCTAGACCGTCCCACTCTCCGTAGCCGAATTTTGGGCGTAACATGACGCCTGGAGTGTCCTATCACACCTGGGCGCCCTTCTGGCTAAAAGCTAGAACTATATCTCGAGAGGTCCTACCTTCAATTGCATTTTCAAGTGTTCAATTTCCATCTGAAGTTTTTGGTTTTCTCGATCATTCTCCTGGCACGTGCGGTTCAGATTGTCGTTTTCCGACTGAAGATCGCGTTGTTTTCGGTTCAGTTCTTCGTTGATCGACTTCAATGATCGGACTTCGTCGGTCAGATCTCGGTTTTTGCGTTCCATTTCACGGAATCTGGAGAGAAAGTTTGAACTTTTGTTTTGGAAGGTTTAAACAAAGATTGACTCTTGGTAATGGTGGATATATTGTGTCTGTGAGGTACATATAAGCTTCGATTAATATGGTAGAATGCGACTGGAATGTCATCATGGTATTAGTATGGTATTAGTATGGTATGGTATGGTATGGTATGGTAATGATATGGTATGGTATGGTATGGAATAGTATGGTATGATATGGTATGGAATAGTATGGTATGGTATTTTCCTGTATGTTAAATCGCGCCTACCTTTCGATTTCAGTCTGTAGAGTGTCACACTTGGACTTATATCTGTCCATTTCATACTCAAGTTCTTTCTTCATTCGTTCAAACTTATCCCTGTCTTCCTCGGCAAGCGTAAGTTTTCGCTTCAGTCTCATGACATCATCGGAACTATCCGACGAACGGCCGCCGGTGTCTCGTGAATGATCGCCGCCATCCTTCTTGGAGAGCAATTGGTTGATTTCATAGAGTAATTTTTTGTTTTCCTCCTCGAGAAAGTCACGACGTCTGTTGTCGTCGCCAAGGGAGACGTTCACGTCACCACGGCCTGTGGGAGAGGATAATATATGTTAGTCATGGACATACAAGAACTAATAACAACATATGGGATAACACAGGCTGATCTTAAAAACGCTGAACTGAACAGCTTCTTGGAGATTTCGAAAGTGACAATTAATTACACTATGACCAACACAGGACCAAAGCCTAGTTTTCCCCATCAACGATTGTGTGGCCAAAGTAGAAATTTTGCATGGGTAAAATATAAGTTTAAAGGATTTGTAAGAAATGTTTGAGGGAACTGGCTTGGTGTTCAACATTAAGTCAGTTTCCTCAAACATTTCTTACAAATCCTTTAAACTTATATTTTATCGATGCAAAATTCCTTTGATAATATAAACTAGGCGAAATACATGAAGGTCTACTTTGAGTTCTGGCGGAAAAGTACACTTGGGATTCAGCAACAGATATGCAGGTAATGAGACTATTATAGACAGTTGAGCTACCTGTAAGTTTAGTCACTGTGTGGTAGTTGTTAGCTGTTTTTTATACATTAACAAAACAATGAAAGATTAAGGTTGGGATTGTTTGAGAGGCGACTGCGTCCGCTTAATCGAAGTGACTGTTCAATAAAGGTCATTTGAAGACTACTAATATCACGAGTGCCATTTAATTCGATTGTACTATCAACGATGTAATGAATAAAGACTTGGTTATAAATGATGTTTTATGGGTTAGGGGTAAAGAGCGACACAAGAGGACACCACCGACAAACCCTTACCTCCATTACCACTGCCCACATTAGTGTTAACGCCTTGAGCAGCTAGTTTTGTTTTCAAAATGTCAATCTCATCTTCGAGTTGTTTACGTCGTCTCTTTTCTTCATCCAGCTGTGCCTTGATGCGACCGTTTTCATCGTGATACTGACGAAGCAGGTCGATCTTTTCAAACTCATAATGACCCTTGATTTCATCACGTTCTCTGATGAATTGAGTTTCAATGGCGTTCTCGCGGGCTCGCAGGTTATCGAGCTCGTCAAGGAGGTGTTGGATGTCATGATTCAGGTTGGACTTGTCGTTCATTTCCTGATTCAGACGGTTTTGTAGCTCTGTGATGTCAACCTGAAATAATCAATGGTTAATAATTTGTCAAAATGACTAAAATCAGTGTCGTCGGATTCATAATATATCAAAGAATCAAAAGAAAAATATACTTCAATGATGCATGTTAATGCAGTCAGTTCAGTAATTGCATGTCGCTATCAGGCAGATTTACATTACACAACTTTTCCCATAACTGTCAACAACTGCTTACAACTGCTTACAACAGTTGCAAGCAACCTGCTTACAACTTGAGTAATGAGTTGTACTGTGTAAATCAAGCACACGACTCGCTTATGTTGTCGTAGTAGTAGTAATAGATTTATTCAACCTCCTTAAATTACAATATTACGTCTTGAAATTTACAATATAAAAAGCGATTATCTATTATAAGTTATTACGAATATTAAAATGTTAAAAGCATATTAAGAACCATGTACATCATAAAATCTAAAAATAAGTTCCTTTCAAAATTGAAATGTTTGATAGAGAAAACAAACCTTAAGACTATAGTATATTTTGATGTACAGAAAGCAAGACAACACACCTTGTAACGATCTTCTAAATCTTCCATATCGCGTATAAATTCCTGTTCATTAATCGACACAGCATCATACTTCGTCAGAATCTCTCTTCTGGCACCGTCCAAGTCAGCCAAGTGTTTCTGTAGTTGTTTGATGTGTTCTTCAAGTTTCATGTTCCTGTCCACTTCATTCACAAGTTTCTCGCCAAGATTGCTTAATTCGCCTGTGAACTTGTTACGAAGATCCGTGATCTTACGGTCGTAATCATCAATTATTCGAACTTGATCTCTCACCTAGATAGAGAGATAATGTCAGTGAGTTATGGAAAGGCATAACTTATCAACAATTTTTACCGGTGAGGCCGCTTGACCAAAACCAGTTTAACTTAAACATTTTTCTTGTACACTGAGCACTAAAACCTTATGTACTAAATATGTAAGGACGCACTCTTTTTACTTGCCTGCAGTTATTTGAACTATTTATTACAGATTGTGTACGTACTGCGATTTACTACAACACCTTGTTATTAAGCAGTAGCAAACTTGACAAAATTACGGCACTGTTAGAAAATGTTAACAAGCTTGCTATCTCAATAAGGCTGTAGTGTGATGATATTCTTCAATTCATTTTGAAAATTTTGATTGTTCAATGACTGTACGAACGTTCCTATATTTTTGGCTTATTCATCAGTACACTCAGCTTCTGTATAGGACTTTAGCCATCAATGATTATAATGAAAGCTTGAGAAAGGATATTTTTCATGTTCAGTTATTTCTAAATTATATTTGCTCGAAATATTCTCGTATCTGGTTGAAAAACATCTAAACCTTATATATGCGTTTAAGTTCTATAAATCCCAAATATCCTACCTTATCTTCAAGTTTCTGTACATGTTCTCTTAATCTCCATTTCTCGTCCTCCAACTGTAGTTTAGCATCTTCTGCAGTCTTGTTTTGATATGCGATGGTTTTCTCGAGTTCAGTAATAATTGTCTGTAGACTGTTTAACTCGCCTTTCAGGGCACGGACTCTTCCTGTTAAAAAAGACAAACGATACCAATTATTCAAGGGTTCAGCGAAGACAACAACAACACCAAAACCACAACCATCATCACAACCATCATCACCACCATCATCACCACCATCACCACCACAAAGATGTTCGCCAGTATCACACCACCACTATATTCACCAGCATAATCACTACCATCATCATTATCACCACCATGACATCACTATCATCACCATCATCACCACCATCACAACCATCATCACCACCATCACAACCATCACCACCATCATCACCACAAAGATGTTCACAAGTATCACACCACCACTATATTCACCAGCATTATCACTACCATCATCATTATCACCACCGTGACATTATTATCATCATCATCGAAGAAGACGAGAGTAAGAGATGTTTATTTTTATTTTTCTGTTCTTTTTATCTTTATATACTGTTTTGCTCGGTTCTAAACTGTTCTCCCTAGAGGTCCAGAGAGCCACTCGTGTTAATCCAGTGTTACTACAGGAGAAATGCTAAACTAAACTAACTTTATTGATACTGGATATTGATAGCTCTAACAGTTCTAAACTGTTTTCCCTGGAGATCCAGTAAGGAACAATACCATGACCATCATCACCATCATCATCACCATCATCATCATCATCACCATCATCACCATCAACTAAAACCTGATATCTTACCAGTATTATTCCTGCCATCATCTTTATCACCTTTCTCGCCATCTTTGTTATCCAACGAATCAAGCAATTGTTTAAACTCTTCATTTTCCTTATGCAGCTCATCAATCTCGTGTTTATATTTATCCAGTGACTTATTCGAATCACTTCTTGGTCGTTTACCCACATTGTACTCAACCGAGATGTTCTTCTGGAAATTTCCATTCATCATAAGGTCTTGGAGCTGACGTCGGAGTTGATCGTTCTCGTTTTGGAGCACTCTCGTGTCTTGTTCGTACTTCGTGATCACTCGCGCGATATCGTTCAGCTTGTCTTCCAGATCTTCCTTGGCATTTCTCAAATCGCGAAGTTTCTTTTCTGCGTTCTCGCGTTCTGCTTTCTCTTTCTTGTAGCGACCTAAGTGAAGAAAAACAACAGTTGGATTTAGAAGGGCCTTCATCAAAGCATCAAAGGTTTCAATAGTTTTTAACAAGGTTCAAAAACCAAACACGGTAGCTTACATTCGAATATTGACTGTTTTTCGTATTAGAATGTTGACCGTTTATCGGGAAGTGGTATCCTACGATAAGCTGTCAAAGTGTTTTTAATCTTTTTCAGGTAGCTCAGACACAGACCAGGCGAATTTATTGTAGAATACTACCTACACTGGACCACCACGTTTGAGCTATCTTTTTCAGGTAGCTCAGACACAGACCAGGCGAATTTATTGTAGAATACTACCTACACTGGACCACCACGTTTGAGCTATCTTTTTCAGGTAGTTCAGACACAAACCACGGAAATATGTTGTGTTAGGAATATATGCTGAAAACGGTCAGTGAATCAAATACACAATCAAAAAATCTTTGGATAATTGAGCAAATCAACCAATTCATTACTCTAATAGCCAGTCAAGGAATCCTTCACATATAATCAAGGTATTCTTGAATCAGTCAATAACACAAACCTTCAAAGTAGTCTTTCTCATCGACAATTCTTCTAAAATCGATGTGTGAGTACGAAGCGCTCTCTTGTTTCGTGATGTTGAT